AAAATTTTTTTTTGCCTTTTTTTTTAAAACCTTTCAGGTTTTATCAGGTTAAATACATTGAAAAGCAGAGATATACACAATTATGAGCAAAAACCAGTTATAGGTATTAATTACTGGCTTCAATTTATGTACCTATATAAGTATCAGAGTTTTCAATATACATTGATAGCACCATTAACAAATTCAAGTGATTCCAAAGATGGTTACAAACTTACAAATATATATTCTGTAGATTGTTACAGCAAGACTAATTTCTGAAAGGCAGACGGCCTTCTGAATTTGAATGTAAGGATCTTCTCAGTTGCACAACTGCACAGGAAAATACTAAAAACCCAATGTACTTTAACAGCCCTGCATCTACATCTGGTCTTAAAAAAAAGTTTCTGCATTACACATTCTGAGGTAGACAGATCATGTATATGTATATATACATACACACACACACACACACAGACACATACATATATATATAAAATACATATATATGTATTATGTTTCTATTAAACCCTTAGACTATAGCTGAACCACCTTAATCAAGATGCTGTCTGTGGGCTTCTATTCTATGTCTACATCAGATAGGGCCAGTGTCTGTATACTCGGGGTGCACAAAGGATGGACAACTCCAGCTGTGTTCACACTTTTGGGCCTTGCTGGCTAAAAATCAGTTGCTACTTAAACTGGGATAGTGATAAGCATATGAACAACTCTCGAAGGGCCCAGCATGTCATTTTGTGCACACATCCATTATCACCTGAATTCACTGTTTTATGGATAGTTAAGAAAAAAAATGTGGACTCCTATGATCTCATTGGTCTTCTATCACTTTAACTAATGCTCACTATAGATAAAAGCTCAAATGCAGGTAAGCAAGTCCTGACACGTGAGGCAAAACCAGAGCCATGTTCAAATTCCACTGCTCATACACACGCATGTGCAGACACAGACAAATAGACAAAAACACACACACACACCCCCGTCTCAATGTGGAAAAGTTCTGTTTAACGCAAACACTCAAATGTAGCTATCTTAAATCCTCATCTACAGAGACGGAAGCCATTTTTGGCCTTAGTGGGGCCTTATTTTCATCCCCATAGTTCAGAAGGCTTTTTTTTTTTTTTTTTTAAAAAAAAAACCTCTCTCTGCTTGTGTTTATTGTGATTTCCTTCCCATTCATATCTGTAATTGTAAATAAAAATGAAGAACCCGTTTTCAAAGGCAAGTAAGAAAACCTGGAACATTCCCTCTGGCACTAGCAGAGCTAGGAAAGAAGGACTGAAGATTCCACAGAAGCATAGGAGACATGCTGAGGAACATGGTGTATGTTTGAATTTGAAAACTCAAACAGAGCCAAAGGGATTAAAAATGCTTGCATAAACCTCCTGCCAGATCAGTCTCCTGTTATCAAGTAATATTTTAAGTAACACCTTTCAAAAAAAGGGAGAGAGCACAGCTGGAAGAAGCACAGCAGTGCAAACCAATTTTCTCATCCACAGATATTTTATCAAAAAAAAAGAGGGTTTAAATAATATATATAGAAATGAGTATTTTTAGCTGACAGGAAAACTCTTCCAAAAGTTAGAGGATTAATAACTTCCAGCTGCCACTAAGACTATATGGACTATTTTTCAGTGATTTGACATCTGTGCTAGACAAACACACTCACATCTGTCCTATAAATGCTATACAATATGCAGCTTGCAGAAATCACTTTTAACTATAATGTTTTTTAAAAAGCTAATTCAAAAAGCTTTCAAACAGTGCAGTGAACTCTGCCAAGCACTACTGAGGGTCGGTTTTGTAACAAATACAGGTTTATGTGTGTATGTATATATACACACATCCATATATAAACACATACATGTAATGTATGTTAGCTTGCATCCATCGGGGTCAACACAAGCAAATTTACCTATTAAGACCAGAAGGTGCTACTATAATGTAGCCTGACCTCCAATACAGCTAATAATTGCACAAAAAGAAATATTGTAATTTCATATGAAAAATGGTTAAATAAAAATATAAAGGTGGCTAGCAATCAAATGAAGGGCTTGTAATCAGTGAAGTGAAAACCGTACAATATCGACCAGTGTTGCCAGCAGCCATGGTTTCAACACCTAGTGAGAGCAAATTCTCTCTAAACCAAAAATTAATTTCTGCAAGCCTCCACTATATAAGACATGTTTATTTTCACCCATCTACGACGTTTGAGTATTCATTGTGATATGGTGCAATTTATGCCACAGCAAAATATTAAGGCCCTTTAAATCAATTGAACGTACTTCCATTAATGTTATCGATCCAACATGCAAAGAGAGTATCAAAGCTTTACTAAAACACAAAGTATAGAAGACCAATCATTGGGCAAAACTAATGAAGTTATTGGATTTCCAGATTTTCAAAAATTTTTCAAATCAGCAAAAAAAAAAAATCACTAGTGATTACGTATGTTCAATGCTCTACAGAAAAACTTGTTGAAAGCCAACGTGATCAGTCATACTGCTTAGGACAGAAACACCTTGCAAAAATATACTGGATAAAATTCTCAAAAGCTTCAAGACATGAAAAATAACTAAATGCAATTTGGTGTCAAAAGCAATTTTAAATCATCCCACAACATTCTAACTTATTTCTGTGCAACTGCAAAAAAACAAGTTAAGCTGAGCTATGTAGAACAATGAAGTATTTTCAGTATCTGTAAACTTCGTGCTGGTAGCGTCTTGTTGCGTTGTGATTTATTTATTTCTTACAAAAAAGTATAAATATTTTCTGTCTAGCAATCCAGGTAACACACCCCTAGGAGAAAATTCAGTACAGTCTGCTAAGAAAGCACTACAGTCTTCCAAAGTTTTTCAGCTGGTTTGTGTCACATGACTAGTGATGCACTAAGAAGGTGCCAGATGATAGTCTCTGCAAAAAACGTTGTCCAAAAGGACAATAAAGTTCTCTCACAGCAAGTCCATTTTGGGTCTGTAATGCAGCAGTAGAGGTGCTTTCTGCAAGATAGAAATATCAGTTATGTTAATAAGTAAATCCAAAATTATTCAGTAGAAAAAGCTTCTGTTTCATAAAGTAAAGTATAACAAATTATCAGAATAGCTATCTGGCAAAATTCCACCAGGACACACCATCTGTGGGACTCAGACAAGAGGTGAAGAATCCTTTCCCTTTTGTCTTAGTAATTTATCATCTAAAGACCAAACATATTGGGTCTTTCTATTGAGCTCAGGAACTCACTTCCAAGAGCGCCCAGCAGAAATGCCTAGAGAGGAGCATAATAATGCAGAAAGTAAATTGCGTAGAATATTCCCATGCCTCTGCCATTAATGATGCAGGTATTTCCTAAATCAATGCGGTACTTCTCTGTACTTAGTAAGATTCATTCTCTCCCTGAATGCATGCATTGTTTTATCAGAAAGTGAAAACTCATCCCCAACATCCTGCATCAATGAATTTCTTGTGTCTTGTTAACAATCTCTTTCATTTGTCTGTTCGGAACCTTTTGACCACCGATTTCATTTGGTGTCCTTCATCTCTTTTACTGGAGAAGGAAGTTTATATGTGGTTTTCCATGAGACTCACAATTGCACCAATATCCATGACGAAGCAGAACCGCAGGTTTCTACAGAACATGCAGCGCTCTCACTCAATCCTTAGTTCTTTTCATAATAATCTATAGCATTTGTTCTTTTTTATTTTTTCTTTAGTTTGCCAATTTTACATGTGTGATAATTAGTACTCGATGTGAATGCCCAACAATTCATTGTTCAGCTTTCAAGGGTTTTATATTTGTTCAAAAACAACAAGCAAAGTACAAACAGAAAGTCAAATATCTATTCAATCATTTTTAACCACTCTTAACTTAACCAGAACTAAAGCAGACAAGTACAGTGCTTACTCCCTCTCTGCACAGTTGATGCTATGCTACAAATTACATTTCATTCCTTTTTCCTTCTCTGTAAACAAAATTAATGCCTACTTCTTAAAAATGCTGTATTAGGTATTTATTACAATGTACCTTCTTATTGAGATTTCAGTTACTGCTACATTGGCCCAAATGACTTTTTTTTTTAATAGTAAGATTTCTTCTTTAGTCACTTTGTGATTTACTTGGAACAGCTGTGTCATACCTTAAATCTCCATCTAGTAACAACTACAAATTTGAGTGTGTGGTCCTTGCCAAGAATCTCTTCATTGCATAATATGTCCAGCTGACAAGAAAAAGAAAGGATAATTAACTCACTGGGATTCAGTATATGAAAAAAAACATTCCAGATAATACTATAAATGTTACACAAGACCTTTGTTTTCCCCCTCTTCTGAGGACACTGGAACCATTCATCTTTATAGTTGCTCAGTGGACAAAAATAGTACAACGAGACAAAACAGAGAGAGAGAGAGAGAGTTTCCTCAACAACAAAGTGACGAAAGACTATTAGTAAACCTACCTGGGGAATACAGTATAAACTTTTTGAACTTAGCTTCCCAGGCAGTACTAGTCTCCTTTTTGCGAAACACATATGCTTTTATAAAGGGCAAATAAAATGTCACCAAAACACAATTCACACAACCTTATATACTTAACTTTTTTTTGCAGAGACTGAAAAAGTTGTTTTTGCTTTTCCATCTAAATATCCTGAAACACCAAGGGTATACATAGGAAAATAGGAATTCAAAGGACTACCTATCAGCTGAACTAAAACAAATAATATGTAGGAAAACATTAAGTTCCACCAAGATGGCATGTAGGGCTTTATCACACAACCCAGGAAAGCTACACTATCCATGCAATCCATTGACACAGCTTAGCTAGCTGGTAATAACTCAAACATGGAAGAGAGCCAATCAAGTGCCCATAAATGTGAAGTCTCCTACCATGACACCATTACCAGGTACAGACACAATGATCATGTATCAGTTTGAGTGTCCCTTAGGAAGAAGGGGAGGTGGCAGAGAAATTGAAGGGTTTTTTGGTTTTGGTTCTGTTTTTTTAAAAAAGCCAACAACACAAAAGCCAAAAACATTTTAAATACTGATCATAGGTATGTTGCCTGTTAGATCACAGCGTTAACAGCTTCTGTGCTAGCTGCTGATGGCAAAACATGAAGACTAGCTGTGCTTTGGGAGGTACTCCAACCACAAAACATAATGAAGTGCAGTGAAGCTAGGAAGAATTGAGAAGATACAAACTGGCAATGGAAAAGTTTGAGCAGGAACACGCTGATATTTTGGAGTGGAAGGCTGATGTCTTGATTTGAATGAAAAATCTTAATGAAATTCAACATGTCAGTGACATGATACGTGGCTGGGAGATAACAGGCTGACAATCAAATTAGATGCCAAGAGACTTGTGACTGAGACCAGCAAGGTGTTAAGCAGAGGATGCACTCTCAGGTTTTCCATAAAGTATTAATTTGGAATCTGAAATGAGAGAAGCATAGAGGACAGGATGTCTTTTCTTTCTTTACCGTCACTGAAACTTCTTCCCACAAAGTGACTAATTAAGTATTCCCTTCAGTGGAATGGTAAAGTAGTATCTGCTTATGATAGACACTGGCTGATACTACATAAGGTTAAGCTTTACCTTAGGCAAAGAAGGAAACATACATGCTGCTTTCCTGTAAGCCGGATTTCAGCACTGCTTAATGTTTCCTGGCTATCGCCTGCAAGGAGTGTGTGTAATCTCTGTGAGTATAATTGAATTTAAGAGGTCAAAAAAAAATACTTTCCTAGCCATCAGTTTGAACCTCTATAGAAGCACATAGCCAAAGCATTTTGATGCAACTACTTACATGTGGACATGAAAAGATGTGCCAAGATGCACTGCCAACGAAATGTCAAGTCCTGTATAACTCAAGTATCAAAAAAAGTTACAGTTTCATTGCTCAGGAGGAGGAAGAGGAAGCGAAAACTAAAGGGAATAAGACTAGAAGCTCCAAAGAATAAAACTCCAAAGAAAAAACAAACATCTTTTAAAAAAATCATCTGCTTCACTTAAAAAGGTCAAGAAAACGGCCCAGGCATTACATAATTCAAGAAGTGGTGCATACCTCAGTTTTCTGAAAATAAAGTCAGATTGGAAGACATTGCTTTGCAAATGAATATCACCACAGCATCCCTATGTTGTTTTTTTCCCAAAATCATTTTTAAAAACTAAAATATTACCTCATTAAAAGAAGAAAGATTAAGTTTTTTGGCGATGAACTTCTTTAGATGCAAGACTGTTGCTTGTGCTGAGCAGCGAATCCATTTTCGCTTCAATCCACGCAATTTGCTGCTATTGCATTCCAGGCAGATGCTTACCTTTAGGAAAACGCAAAGGGTCAGGATTGGCTGATACAATTTTTGTTGTCCTCATTATGTATTCGATATGTTGTTTTCATTAGTCCAACAAAAACAAAACAAAACAAAAAAATATAGAGGACTTACTAAGAGGCATGAAATACCACTAAAGAAAACTTAAAATTCTGTCAGTTTAGTGGTAAGCATCATTTTATCCAAGAAGAATTTGGACAAAAGGGTTCAGAGAACTTCAAAACTAGGCTGCTCTAGTCAAGATTCACAGATTACAACTAGTCCAGGAGAACAAGGCCAGAGTAAGATACATGATAGCAAGCCAAATTTTTAATGATTGCTTCTACTGTGACCTTTTGCTTTTATCGAAACTGCTAAATCCAGTAATAAATAAATTAATCTTTTTACAAGCTGCTTCAAAATTTAAGATGAACAGATACAATATGTAACAGATTTTTAAAATTCGAAGATCAACTGCAGACAATGTCCTTTCAATTTCCATGTTCTTATTTCTTTTCTCATCCAGCTATTTTATTATTTGGTTTAAGCTCTATCAGACAAAGTTTACTTTATGCACTAAGTGGATACACTGCTAGATAAATTCCCTTTGAAAGTTAACTTACACCAATATAGAAAGAAAAACCAAGTTTAATTTACTCTGCACACAATAGCAGATTTTATTTTCAAACATAATTTGCATTTAGAACTTTATGCTGGATGTCCTGGTATAGGATAACATTGTCTTAGCATTAGTAGTTTAAAGTAAAATAAATAGTAATTTAGCAGAAGTACAATAGTTTTTCATTATCACAGAACCACAGAATGGTTGCGGTCGGAAAGGACCTCTGGAGATCATTTTGTCCACTCAGTCCTGCACAAGCAGGGTCACCTATAGCACATTGCTCAGGATAGTGTGTAGGTGGGCTCTGAATATCTCCAAAGGAGGAGAGTCCACAACCCCTCTGGGCAGCCTGTTCCAGTGCTCTGTTACCCTCACAGCTGAGAAGCTTTTTCTCATATTCTGACGGGACTTCCTCATGTTCTGGCAGTTCCCTGTTTCAGTTTGCATCTGTTGCCTCTTGTCTTATCACTGGCCACCACTGAATGGAGTCTGGCCCTATCCTCTGGACACCTTGCCTTAAGATATTTGTACACATTGATAAGCTCCCCTCTCAGTATTCTCTTCTCGAGGCTAAACAGGCCCAGTTCACTCAGACTTCCTCATAGCAGAGATGCTCCAGTCCCATAATCATCTCTGTAGTCCTTCCCTGTCCTCTTTCCAATAGCTCCATGTCCCTCTTGTACTGGTGAGCCCTGGAGATAGCACTTGTTGCCTTACATCATGTCAGGGTTGTGTAGAGGGGGAGGATCACCTCCCTCCAATTATTATTGAAAGCATTCAATTCACTGTGTGAAAATGGCATAAACCCCTTCAAGAAAGAGACCCCAATAACATGAATTTATGAAATACGAAATGAAAGCCAAAAGAGACTTTTACCAATACTTTGGAAAAACAAAAGAAACAGTACGAAATCTTGATGAAAACATCTCAAAAATCTTCACTCCTACCAAAACTCAAAGACAAAATGTTCTCCCATGTTTCTGTGTAAACATGAATTTTATCTTGTTTGTATCAAAAGAGGAAAAAAAATCCCTCAGTAGTTATTTAACTTCAATAAGGTATCAAAGCACTAAAGCTAGAACACAGGATAAAACCAAAAATGCCCTATGAGCCTACCTGTTCATCACTTCGGTGATAATCATTATCTTCTTCCTGTTTTTCTTCAGATGTTTCTTTGTTTGAATTTTCATCTGTTTTAGTTTCACCTTACAGACGAAAACATATATATAGCATAACACTCAACATCAGAATTCCCAAATCTGTTATGATTAAAACAGTCCAGGACCAGAATATACAATAAGTCTTGCTTTTTCCCAATTTTGGTTATCTGCTTAACCAACACCAGCTCCACCCATGAAAGACAGGAACAAGAGCACAGTCTTCAACACCATCCAAAACTAACCACCCAAAAGCTGGGTAAAATGGGAACCCATATATAGGCACTATAAATGAGATGTCTTTCACCAGGAGCATGGACATCCATGGATAGCTAAAAAGACAGATTCTGTGAACACATAAAAGGCAAAACAACAATCCTACACCCACCATAGTTTACAATGCTACAGTGCTATAACACAATTGTGACTGGTGTGTGTGTGTTTAGGGTGGGGGGAGGGGGAAGTGTTCTACATGATGGCAGACACATACATCTGACGGATTCTTTTGGCAATCTAACTACCATCCAAGACAAATGCAAATAAAAGATAATTTACCATTTCGATGCGAATCCAGATGCTGCTTTGCAGAACACGTCTCCCCTTTGATGTCTCCTGGTACTTCCATGCCCAATTTATGATAGAATTCCCTCTGCTTTTTCATTTCCGCTGTTTAAAATTGTAAATATTAATCCCTGAAATAATTCTACTGCAATATTTATGAGGTCATTCTAAATTCCTTCCATACCATGTAGAACAAGTTTGCCAGCATCAGCAGTTTGTAACACTTCTCTACCTCTACTGTTGTTTTAGGTTATGTCAGAGATAATTCTCTAGCAGAAGAATGCTAGGAAATCATTTGTGTAGCTATTGTTATACATAGCTATTAGCATAGGTGAGATAAAACACAGTACAACATTTAATACCTAAGCCATACCTCCAGTGTTTCAGTCATACCACTGCTTTTGAGTTCTTAACTCTGATCTTCAGTATGTTAGAAACAATTTATAAATGCTATCTTTAAAAAAAAATAAAAAACTTGTTTATTGATGTCTTAGACTCTTCTCCTTTTGCAGTTTAACTAGATTAAAACAGACTATTTACATAAAAGCTGTAACACAACAGGGGAAAAAATAGAGCAGTTAGTGTAAAATATTTTTTATTGAACAGATCAAGTCTCAAAGGGGATTACGAAAAAAATATATAAAATTTACCTTCTACCAAAGGTCATATGTATTAGAAGAAATTTTTACTGAAACTATAAGTTTCATTACATTCTACCTCTGAAATTTCTGATGCAAGAGGTGTAAGCATACAGTTTAACAAGAATATATGAAATAAATGAGAGGTGTAATATGCCAACATAAGAAAGCTGAACTGTTGTTCTGATTTGTGTAGTATTACTTTTCCTTAAAATATCCCCAGAATTTTGTTACTTCCTGCCCCCTCCAAAAAAATTGCTGATACTGTTCTAGAATTAAACTACTACCGCAAGAACAGAGAATTAATGCCAGAAATGGAATAAACATGGGCAGACTTTCCACTGCACTTTTTCCTCAGTCTCCCTCTGTGTTTCCTCCGCAATACACACCTTCGTCTTTATCACCTCAAGCTCGTATATATATATATGCGTATATATATATATATATATATATATATCAGCATTTACTACAATACACCACATACACAGCTTACCTTCTTGGAGGCCTGGAACAAGTTTGTAAACAATATCTTGCATTGTTCTATCATGGCTAGCAGGGAAAAACAAAATCAAAAGTTTAAATCAGCCATCTTGATTCAAAACATTTCACTCAATATATTCCAGAAATAAATTGGTTGAAAAACTAAATTCTTGTCAGAAATATTTCAGTCCTAAAAAATCCGTATTTATATCAAATAAGAGAGAGAAGTAACAAGAAGTTATTTGACATAATTTCCAGGTTACGACAAAAGCTGTCAGAAATTCAAAGGAAGAGTGAGGAAGAATGGTCTTGGCTATCCAGAAGATACCATCCCACTCAAATCAAGGTATAGCCTCCCAGTTCCTTGATGTCTTCAAAATAAAGGCGTTTTTTTTGTATGAAATGTTCAAGGGTAGTCTTTTTCTTGACCGTTCAAATCAATCTCTCTCATTTCCAGGGTATTTAGTTTTGCTATTATTTTGTTATTTTGTTGTGTTTTGTTGCTCAGAAAAAATGCATCACAAGGTTTAACCTCGCTCTTGAGACAACATTTTATCCATCAGCAACATTACATAACCCAGAAGTTTAAACACACCACATATGGCAGGAATTTGAGAGGAAGCAGGTATGGTACTAAACTTTGAACGGTAGCTCAGCTACACAAAACTGTATTCAACCAAAAACTGTTTTCACTCTATTCAGCCATAATTTCTGGATTAGCCTAAAATAATGACTAAAAGAAACAAAACATTACCTTGAATTCTAATTCAAAAACAAAATCAAGAGCAATTTAAATGACAATCTCAGGTGCTGTGAAGGCAGTAAAGCAAACAAAGTTTGCAATACCAAATACTGGACCTGATTCCTAAGCAAAATAACAGGTTTAAAAGAGTACTCAGGTTCCAAATCAAATGAGACTGCAGCAGTAAAGACTACTGAATGATCACAGAACTGATGACAAAATAAAGAGTTAATGCCAATCAATCATTACTCTCTTTTAAAATAGCAACAGAAGAAGTATCAAAATATCAATATTGTTTGAATTATGTATATCACTATCGTTGGAAGCTGTAGAGACAGCACAATAATTTTCAAACTCCTGAATAAGGATCAGTTTTAAGCAATTCAGAAATCATTTTGGGACATAAACAGATCCCAGTAAAAGCAAATGAGAAATCAGCACTGTTTCAGAAGTTATGATAAAACTGAGAGATGCACACTGAAAGTTATGACACAAACAAAACCAAGCTTTTCATAAAGGAAGGCAGAAGACTACTTGATATGCAACAGCTAGTATGAATACACTGCCACAACACTCTTCCATCAGGGAAAGTTTCTGTGTTTCAGATCTCTAGTGCACTCAGCCAGGCCACATTGTACAATCATCTTACATATGTCTTAGAAATATGCAAACGGAAACTGCTGTAAAAAAGACTTCTTTGCAAATCACACAGACCAAAAAAAAAGAAAAAAAAACAACACCCACAAAAAACACACCCTTACGTTATATTAAAAACATAGAGGTTGTTACATTCTGGAGATTAAATGCACTGGACTAGTGTTTTTTGCTGCCAGTGTTCCAACCTGCACCTATGAGCTAAATGGTCCTTTGGACATTTAATTAAACAATAAACAATAACAGTTATCTTTCTTATCAACTTTTTAGATAGTCAAAATGACTGTTGACACTCATTGCCTTCATACATAGTAAAAGAGCAGTTCATGAAAATGCTTCATATACAAAACTTTTGTGATGTGGATGTATAAAACAAGAAGCGATTAAATTCCATTAAGCTTCACTCGTAAAAGATAACATAAAAGATGCTGAAGAACTGCAAATTCATAGCAAAGTTTAGCGCTTAGGTCTTTTACATAAATCATATTTCTATTAAAACTTCTTCTTAAATGCTTACCATACTTCTAAGCAAGTAAAAAAGTCTAGGTGAAAGTTGTACTGCATGAGCAAATCATACAAACCCACAGTGAGACTAGTTGTGCTTTTACTTTCCTGCTTACCCAATATACTGTAATGGATGACTCTGATGTATAACAATTCTACATGTTGGACAGGTGTTGTTTTCCTCCAAATACTTCACTAGGCAGCTTCTACAGACTGAAAACAAAATATTCATAATTAAAAACAAATAAAACTATATTGAAAATATAGAAGATTGGTTTGGTATAATTGTAGACATACACATGGCAAATCAAAAAATGAATTTTGTGTTCTATGTGTATAGGTCTAACCATTCCAAAAACAGTTCACAATGTCTTTCTGGAATGCTCTTGAAGCACTGTGTATAAATTAATGCAGGAAATCTGTATGGACTCAGAGTCTTCCAAATAAAGCAAACAGCACAATCCCATTCCAGAATTTATTTGAACGGCAGGTGAGCACCATACTGTTAGAATAACAAGACATTCTACATCTTTAAGATACTGAGACAATTTCTTTAACTATGTTTTATAAAGAAGTTCACTTTTTCGGAAATGAACCAAGCGCAAATAACTTATTCCTTTTCCTTAAGTTGTACACTATTCAAAAGAACCGAGTACTTTCAGAAAATGGATATCCTGGTGTTTTTTTACTTATACCATTCATAGAGTACACACCACAGTTAAACTTCCACCAGATAAAAAAAATACGCAATGACAGATCTTTTGAAGAAATCTCGTAAAAGCTGTTAATGCAGTGACACACTGTAGAGCTGCACTATTTCGGAACTGTTCTCATGCCCATTGGCACAATTCTATTCACCAGGTTGAAAACAAACTATTTACCCCATTAAATTTCTTTAGGGAAACAGTACTGGACAAAGTATTCTATTACATGTTTTTCTAACCAGAAGTTAAAAATGAACTCAACTTCAAAATTTAGAAAAGTTCTACTTACCTAAATTATACTATTAGGTTTCTCTTTGAAAAGTACAGAAACATCTATTCTTAACCAGTAGCCATTTGTTTATTCTTTTATTAAAGTACTAATCCTTAATGCATAAATCAAAAGAATTTTTGCAAATATAGTGCCATCTACCACTCAAATAATATGATGATTCTATGTGAATTGGCGTGTATTCAAATGTAAGATATGAAGCAGCAAAGCAAGTTAATGACTTGATACTCTACACTGTATTTACACTCTGAAGACCACTTTTGTCAGTAAAAGTTAATTGTTGACCCTACAGCTTTTGCCCCATAAGTCTAGGTCTGGCATTTTACAAAATAAGTCAACCTCATCCTCGACAAAGCATTCTTACTCCAGATCTAAAGCAGTATAATGGCAAAATGAAGAATCTTGGAATTTCTGAAAGTCATGGAATTATAATAATGTAAATAAATCAGAAAAAAAAGCCCTTAATTCTGAGCTGAAACAGAAGCTGAATTACAGGGTATTGTAGTTCATCAGGGAATCCATTATCTCAACAGAGAGGGCATTTTCAAGAGAGATATTCAATGGAAACCTTGTTAGGAAATACATTATCACAATTAACATATACAAAAGAAACAATGCCAAGATGTATAAAGTTAAATAAAACTATGAGGGTGTGCCTTTCTTGAAACATTATAATTCTAAAGGATAGGCATAGAAAAAGTAACACTTTCTGAAAATACAAACAATCTACAAAAGGGAAGCATATTCCACAAAATAAATAAATACATAAAACAGTAGAAGTGATTGTTCCCTGGCTTCTACAGCAAGACCTGAGGATTAACCTAAATTCACTCAACTTAAAAGTCTGAAAAAAAATGATGCAGCTGATGTGAATTAAGCATTTTTTTGTTTCGATAATGAAAAATGACCCATTAACTTTCAAAACAGATGAGATGGGCGACATACTAATAATACTGTTAATATAGGCCAGGGGTCCTCAAACTATGGCCCGCGGGCCGAATACAGCCCCCAGGGTCCTCAATCCGGCCCGCTGGTATTTACAGAAGCCCCCCGCCCCGGGGGGTTGGGGGAGGAAACCAAGCAGCCGCAGATGACCTCCTGCCACTTAATCCGCGCGTGGGCCTCCGCAGCTCCCAAGCACCCGCCGGGACTGGGCTGAAACCAGAGCCTCGTCCTTGCACTGCGCCAAAGTTCCTTCAGTCCCTTCTGGCCACCCTTTCCGGACTGCATGGCCGGGCTGAGGAGGGGGCCGCGGCATCAGCGAGGGGGGAGGCTCCCCCATCTCTCCCTCCGTCCCTCCAGCTCCCAGGCAGGACAAGCAAGCCAGCACCAATGGGAAACGCGCACACCATCATGTCAAAAAAAAGAAAAATTTACTCCGAGTGCAGGGTATTCCAAGAAAAGTGGATTTTTGATTATTTTTCCACGGAATACAAAGAAAGAGCTGTTTGTCTGATACACCAGAATTCAGTGTCTGTGTTCAAGGAATACAATTTGCGTCGACACTACGAAACTCAACATAAATACGATTCTTTGGTCGGACAAGTGAGAAAAGACAAAATATTAAGACTGAAACATGGGTTGACAACTCAGCAAAATACCTTTGTGAAGCAAAAGGAGCTCAATATATCATCACTTGAAGCAAGCTATCAAGTTGCCAAGCTCATAGCGTGCACTTGAAGAGCCTTCATAGAGGGAGAATTTGTTAAAGAATGCCTTCTTTCTGTTGCCAAAGAGATGTGTCCAGAGAAGGCGGATGTATTTAGTACAGTGAGTTTTTCAAGACCTACAATTACACGAAGGATTGAAGAAATGGAGGAAAATTTGAATCTGCAGTTGCAAAACTCCTCGAAAAAACTTTGCTATTTCTCATTGGCACTCAACGAAAGCAATGATGTTCGTGATTCTGCACAACTTCTAATTTTCATTCGTGGGACAAATGATTCTTTCGAAGTCACAGAGGAGCTTGCTGCACTGAAAAGCATCAAAGGAACGGAACAACTACAGGAGTCGATATCTATGAGAAAGTTTGCCGAACTATGAATGATTTGGAGCTGGACTGGGGTAAACTATTCAGTGTGACAAGTGATGGTGCTCCTAGCATACTGGGGTCCATGAAAGGAGCGGATGCACGCATTAACAAAGAGATGGACAAACACAACCATTCACATCCAATAGCCATACACTGCATCATCCACCAACATGCACTGTGTTGTAAATCACTGAAGCTGGACTCATGAAAATTGTAGTTACTTGTGTTAACTTCATTAGAGCTCATGCACTAAACAACAGACAGTTTCAGGAATTTCTGTCTGAGCTAAATGTTGCCTATGAAGATATTCTGTACCACACAGAAGTCTGTTGGCTGAGTCGAGAGAGAGTTTTGAAATGATTTTATGACTTACTTCCACAGGTTTATGATTTTATGCTTTCTAAAAACAAAGAAGTACCAGAGCTCAAAGATGCAGAATGGAAATGGCACCTTGCGTTTCTGACAGATGTAACAGAGCTACTCAACAATTTCAATGTCCAACTTCAAGGAAAGGGGAAGCTCATCTGTGATATGTATTCACATGTGAAAGCATTTCAAGTCAAATTAGACCTGCTCATTAACCAAGTAAAGGAGGAAAACTTCTGCCATCTCCCCACAACTCAAAACCTGTCTGCAGAAAAACCAGCAGTTGCATTCCCAAACAAAACATGTATGGATGTACTAGAAATGTTGCAAAAGGAGTTTCAAATTAGATTTAAAGAGCTTCGTCTCCATGAACAGGACATACAGCTTTTCCGGAACCCATTTTCTGTTGACATTGAAACTGTTGATCCGATTTACCAAATGGAATTGGCCGAACTACAGACTTGTGACTCGCTGAAAGATGCATTCAAATCAAGCAGCCTTACTAATTTCTATGCATCTCTCCCCTCAGAGGCATATCATAATCTCAGGAACCATGCACTCAAAATTGCAACCATCTTTGGCAGCACCTATGTCTGTGAGCAGACTTTTTCCCCAAATGAAACATCTGAAATCTCCAACCAGATCCAGACTAACTGATGAACACTTGCACCACTTGCTAAGACTAGCAGTGACAAATATCGAACCCAACATTGACCATCTCATTAGCCAAAAGCAGGCCCACAGTTCATATTGAAATATTACTTGTTTTTGTTGATTACAATTGTTCTTCATTTTAAATATTGCATTCTTTTTCCTGTTTTTTTTCTGTGCACTACTACAAATAAAATATGTGCAGTGTGCATAGGAATTCGTTCGTTTTTTTCCAAACTACAGTCCAGCCCCCAAGAGTGTTTGAGGGACAGTGAACTGGCCCTCCGTTTAAAAAGTTTGAGGACCCCTGATATAAGCTGTTAATAGCAGCAGTAAAATATTTGGAACAAAATTAATCAGAGGTCTTCCTTACTACATTCCAAATAGAACATCATACGAATGTGAAACTCATGCAGAGCAGACAGAGTGGAGTGTGAATAGCCACAATAGGAAGAGTGATGAGGAAGGCAAGTTTAGTGGATTAAGCTGATGAAAAGCACTCAAATCAAGTAAAGTGTAAAAAGTAAACTCCAGTAATTCATGAGCATCATATCTCCCCCTTGTAATAATGCTTCAGATTTGTGCAGTACAGCTTCAATATTCTTCTCATTTCCTTCATGAGAAAACATTACCTTGCTAAAAAAAAAATGATAGTCTAGCAAAGCATGCATTATTTTGGCTTAAGCACTACAGATTTTTGAATTTCAATTTACGGCATGAGAACATGTTGCAAAATCAAATAAAAAATTTGCTTAACTTAATTATACTCCTACTTACAAGTATGCAAGCATTCTGTTACAGTGGTAGCATCAATAAGGTATCCATTGCACAGACGACAGGTTATATGGGCATTGATGTCCCAAAGCTTAATTTTTCTTGTTAGCATCTTTGGTGTCTGTAGGAGAGAAAAAAAAAAAAAAAAAACACAACACAGTAACACAGCTGTAGTGATCACATAAAAGTAATTTTGGAATATGTAAGCAATTAGAGTTCATCTTAAAGCTATGTTCACATAATTTAAATGTTTTTATAATACCTTTTAAAGTGTTTCACAGAAATAAATAGTGAAATAATGTGAAATCAGCATTAACTTACAATCAGAGTTTCAATATCCTAGAAAACAGACTGCTAGCATACTATTAATACGTTTTCATTATTGACACATTGATCTAGATTCAAGGTGAAATACTCCTATTCACCTAAACAATGACTTTCAAGGTAGGAATGGGGGAAAAAAAAAGAGGGAAAAAAACCCATCCTTAATGGAATTTTTTTTTGCAAACATGCTTTACTGAAGGGAACATTAAAAATAAAGCTGCCTCGTTGACAGAGCTACATTTTATTGCACTAAGAAGGGTGACCTAGGAAGCTTTTTTCTCTTCAAAGCAAAGAATATCGTAACTACTATTGCAAGAAAATCAAAATTAAAAATGAAATGTTTTCAGTTAGTCTTTCTGCAGCATTCTTCATTACTTGTCAGATAAAACAGCCTGCAAAACCTATGCCCTTACAAGTGGGCCACTATTTTTAAATATAGAAATACTTTATATTTTCAAAATATATTGAAAAAAAGAACTGCACTGTAGAAACACTGGAGTTAATTAAAAAGATTTTACAACGCCTGTCTAAACTGGCTTATAATTTATTAATTTGGTTACTTCAATTATCACTAGATGACAGTTCTCTATTACAGTGACTTGACTGGGCCTGGGTTACAAATAATAGCTTTGACTTAGTTTGTTTTGGAACATATTTCAAAATTTGAATACTGAAAGATTTCCCCCACATTTCACCCTGAAAGTTTAATTCTTCATCTGTCATCTTCTTTTCCTATATTTAATGAAGTGGTAAACTAAGGACAGAGAATTATCAAAAGACAAATTTCCCAACTAGTCTGAATGATACCAGCACTGAACAAAGTACATTATATTCCATCATAATCAATGGAAAAACATTTTCCTAACCAAGCTCTTAAGACCAATGTTGCTCAATGCAAAACAGTAATTGAAGACTTACCAGGGCTAAGACGTAAGAGATATAAAACTCAAATCTGTTTTACAGCTTTTAAGATTTTATAATTATGCTAGTAATTAAATGTTAAAGAAGAATGAAAGTACAGCATGTTTGTGCAATACACAAAGTAGATCAGAATCTATACTTCGGAATTGGATTACTGTTATAAATCTATTTTACAATTTTGCTTATAGTTTTTTATAGCTAACCTGTTAGAATAGCCACATATTTAACAGCTTCAGGTTGGCATATGAGGTCTCCAGGTAAAGAAGCTACTCCATGAACCTACGGGAAAAGCTATTTATTGTTTTCCCTGAGAAACATTCAGGAAATGGCACCAAACAACTAGTGAAATAGAAAGAGGGCCCTCTGGAAAAAAACATAATTTATGATAGATAAAAGAGAATTCAAGCCAAAAGAATCAAACCAAGAGGCAAACATACAGGGACAATATCAATCACAACTTAGTTACTTGTCTGGACAGGAATTCAGCAAAAGGTATTCATGATTACCATGAACTGAATTGAGGTATTAGGGAGGATGAAGAGCCAAAGATGTCACAGTGAAAACTGAAGCTCAGAAATAATTTATTCTCTAGAAAACATTTCACAATTTCTCACCACTACTGTAGAGACAAGTACTACCAAGCAAAGCACCATATGATGTAGCACTAGAATAAAAAATAAATGAAAAAACTCTACAGCAAATAAAAATAGCTCAGATGGAACATGATATTGTTAGAGCTATGAAGGAACTACAGAACAAAGAAAGTAAAAGTACTAAAAAGACTACAGAACAACTAAATTAACGTAAATTTTTCCAGAGGGAAAATAAATAAACAAATAAAAGATAGCAAAGAAAACCACTCCATGGATTGAATAGGAAATAAAAAACATATTCTATTCCAGCAAAACCATGACACACATCTAGAAATTCCTAACTACGCTTACTTAGCGTAATCAGCCTGGTGAAGATCTCATATACCTTTGAATAAGTAAGTAATGGTAATAATAAAATAAATAAAAATAAAAATCACTCATTATATATTTAAAGAAGAAACATAATGGGGGAAAGTTTTTCCAGGGCTTTAACCACTTCAGTGTCAAAAGAAGCTACAGGAAAAGATTTTTTGCAGAAGGCCTGGCCCTCAGGCCTTTTAGTTTACAGTGCCTAAACAAGAGAAAAAACTGTTTCCTGCACACGCAGAGGTCTTAACACAGAAGCTTCAATACAGCATCACTTTCCGATAAGGAGTTCGATTCTAAGGTCTATAAGTAAGCTGTCTGTGTCAGAATTTACTTTACCCTGCATCTTGTGCTACTGAACATATCTCTTCTATTGGTTGTTTCTTTTTCCACAAGAAGTTACCAAACAAACAAAAAATTGCAAACTTTTTTTTTCTGATTTTCTACTACTTTTTCATCATTATTAAAGGGGTACTGAGCTACCTGAACCATACATCTGTTCTTGAGAAGGTGCTCTAATATTCCCATGTTCTCATAGTCTATTACTCCACAAAAGCTAAAGGAACTTTCATCACATAAGATGGTCATAATCAAGCATCCTTTATTTTATATATATACATAATACGTATACACACACATATATACACATATACACATATATATAGTTACTTGGAACTTATTGTGTCTGTCTGAACACACACACAAATACACACAAATACTCTTTAGAGGAAAAAAACCTTGATTCAGCTTGAATGTTAAAAACAAAGAGACGAAAATATAAGTACCAAGGCATTAAATCTGAAAAGCTTACCATTAATAAAGTTCATATTTCTGTAGCTTCAGCTAGGCTGAAGTTTTCTTGCATCAAATTCTTCACAATAAAAAAGAAACTCTATTTCCAAATGAGAGTTCTGGGTTAGTCTGATATTTACTTATAAGCTCACTAAACCATACTTAAGTTGATATGAGAGGCTAACCTCTACACTGAATGAGGCAGTTTCTATTTGTCTTTTTTTGCAATGTTACCAGTCAGTTTCTGAATAGATGCATGCTCAATAGTTCTGAACCATTTGTAGGACTGCAGTCAAGTTCAGAAGCAAGAAGTATCAAAATACTTCTTTAACATACATACTACTTAAAATGAACCAGAATCTCACCTGCTTTACGGGAAATATAAAATGCAAAAAACTCCCACAGAAGTATGCTACATACAATCATACCATAGTACAGTTTGAAAGGGATATCCTAAAAGATCTAACCTAACCTCACATTCAAATTGACCCAATTAAATTCATTTGCTCTGGCATCAGCCCTGCTACATTCAGAAAACATCCAGAATGGTCATCTGAACAACGCCTCCAGAATAGTCTGCCACCGCCTCTCTGGGCAAAAAAGATATTGGATAGACTGGGTCTGACATAATATTTTTTTAAATCATTCCTCATGAATCCTGAAATGGCTGAGAGATAAAGGAAAGAGCGAACCAATTCAATTTTAGGAAACTGCTTTTCCTAGCAGCTGTAGAGCACTGAAATCTTAGAATGGAGAAAGAAATGGTCCCCTTACGCTAGAACATGAAAACCAAAATAACAATAAATAAATGCATAAATAAAAACCAAAATAACCATAAATAAATAAAAGCAAAAACACCTCACTATCACACAGGAATGTTTCAAACATCCATTCAATATACAAAAAATAATCACTTGAATAAAGATTAGTGCTCTTCCATCTTGTTTCCAAATATTTTATACTATATTGCTAGAACAGTGTCAGCCTTTCACTGCTGAGAGATTTCCTCTCACATCAAGGGAAAGGCAGTACAAAAAAACTACAAATGCATCCAGAATTGCCTCCACAAGGAAAAAAAAAAAAAAAAAACTCAAAAAAGAAGCCCCCTGCCACTCACAACAATCAGGAGAGGGGGGTAGAGGGTATGCAAGTGTCAGAGGGTCAAGATTTTTTTTCTTCATACCATACTTTCTCTGCTATGGCTGCATCCTGTTAAATTATCAACCAAAATGTTAACAGCATCTCACAGACCTCTCCAGTAAAACTGTTTGTAAAGTTTGTATGCTTCTGAACAAGCTTTCACCTTTCAGAGGGATTTCAGCACCGAAAATTGTTGTTAAGTCGACACACAGAAAAAAGACAAGCAAAAAGTCTCTTTAAAGATATGGCCTTATCATTGGTGCACACACTGACCATAAGTGTTTTGGTCTACATGTAGCATACCTCTTAAAACAGCATTTCTTTTCAAAGTCTGCCATCCAGAGACCTGAAAAGACAGAAAAATAGTCTGAAAGTTAAGCACCCAAAATTCCTCAATAACAAAAAAAAATCCATCACACAGAAATGGTTAGCGCATTAAGTTCACCTAGAACAATTAAAGAAAAAAAAAAAAAGGCAGGTAGTAGATTGTGGACTATTTAAATCTGATTAACCAAAATAAATGGGGAAAAGACTGTCAATATGGGGCAGAAGAAGAAAGTACTCCAAGAACCACCCATGCAGTATTCTTCTATGAGAGCACACACCACAGGAAAATTACTCAAAAATAGAAGAACAAGCAGTCTTGTTACCATGTGGTGACAAAAAAAAAAAACTCTAGCTTCACACGTAACACAAGAAAAAGCTAACTTGAACACCACAATCCATTTAGATGGTGACAGGTCTCTAAAAAGGCAAAGATTTTGGATTGATATCCACAGCCAGGTGCATCTCATTCTCAGTTTTCAAGTTACATTTATAGTAAGGTATAAGATATAGTACTACTCACATTTTCCTATTCACAAAATAAAAGACACGGTTTACAGTTACCGATTTTGTTGGTACATTGCTGAGGAAATGATAGATACTATGGTACAATGAAACATTCATGACAACATTAGGCAAAAATTTCAATGCAATGCATATAATCTCTTAACTTTTAGCACATTGATTGATTTAGCACATTGATAGCTTTGACTGAATTCAGAGAAAAAATATTAATCGAAATCAAAGCAGGTTTGTATAAGATGTCCTTTTGCGTAGGTATCTCAAAAAAAAGCGCCTCTTTGTCCAATCTATAGATTATTAAACTACTACTCTTATTTGTACCACATGGCTTTGTAAAGCAAAATAAGCAGAATAGGACATTATAAACCCAGAACTGGGGTGACTGCCAAAAGATTTACAAACCATTAAAAAGCAACTTTTTTCCATTTTTAAAAGGATAAGCATACCTTCTCTTTTCTCCCTCTTCCACAATGTTATTCTGTTAAAAATCAGAAATACACTCCTCACATAATACTTATGGAAAAAAAAAAGGCCTGATTTTCTCAGTCACATGTTGGACACTAACAGTTTTGCTTAATACATTATTGAAAGATACTAAGATCATAAAGCAGTGAGAGTAGAAAGAGAACAGTAATAGAAACTGGAAGTATACTTTGTTCCACAAAGATAGTGGTATTACAGCAAAAATCACTGATCTCTGACCAGAAAAAAATAATCACAACAATATAATTACAATCAAATCCAGAACTTAGGATGTAGAAGAGATTTTTTAAATCAGGGCATAAGTACCTGCACACATATGAAACCTAATAGACAAATCTATAGCTGAAGAAAAAAGAAAACACCTTCCATTCAATTTGTACATCATCAGCTAGTTTGACTAAAATACAGAAACAGCTTATTCTTCTAATCAGCCGATAATTGATTTAGGGATTTAGTTTAAATTTTCTTTTTTCCTTTAAACAGTAACTTAAAAGAATGTGGTCTTGCCTAACTGCTAAAGAACAAAAGAATACAACAACAACAACAACAAAAAAAGGTTAATACTAAGTATCGTGCATTTCTGCCAATTGTTTCATCTCACAACAATTTGTCTAAATCAGAAATGTATTTCTGGAGGAATACAGCACTAGTCGTAGCCCTGCTTTAGTTTCTAACAAGGTCAATACTTGATATTCTGGAGAACAGTAAGAATATTAAATCAGTTTAATCTCAGATACAGGACATTTAAGACATGAGAGAATAATTTCTTAAAAAGTATTTGTGGTCACTTTGGCCTCAGACAAAATCTTTTGTTTCAAACATGGTGAGTTTTACTATACTAGTGTTGATTTTTTAAGGAAACAATATAACAGCCACAATAAAAAAAAAAAAAAAGAGAGTAGAGAAAGTAGTAATAAACACTTTACAAGTGCAGAGGTTGTGAAAATAATGTAAACTTCAAAGAAGTCCTGGTCTGTTTGCAAAGCACTGTTTAATAAAAGAAATTATTAGAAACTTTCTTTTTATCAAGGAGATAGAAATAAGGTTCAAGATTCACTTTTATTTTAGCAAACCAAAGTATGACTAGTAGCACATATACAGATTTTTGGTAAATTATTTTATCAACTTAATTGTATGTGAATACACCAAGTGTACTTTTTAAAGATATCATGGCAACAATTCAAATTCTCACATATGAGTGGACTCTTCGCAACTCATTTCTCCCATTTGTGAGAATACATTAGCACCAGCAGATGGCGCCAAGCCCTCAGGCTTCATTAAACCGGTAGGTATACCACTCATTCCAAAGCTAGGAATGTTTGCAAATCTTACTGTTCCTCTCCTCCTACATCAAAGATCTACGGAGCACAAATGTACCATGCAATAATTTGAACCACTACCTACTCCTCTCCTATCACATGGGCATGCTGAGCAATTTGCAGAGATCATATATGAACTTGATGACAGATGAGGTTTTTCCAGTTCCAGTAAAAATGTACGTATTCATTTCTCCCCATCTCAAAATAAACAAATAAATGAAAATCCTGGTAGCAGAGAAGATCTGCAAACAGCACCATTTGTTGCTGTTTTGTGGGTATTTGCTTCACTGTTACATGACTAAAGTACTATTTGAAACTGATAAGCAATCAATCCTCACAGAAAAGATTAAATGATCTAAAATTAATAGCAGAAATGAGTGTCATATTCTATTACAACACCTTTTTTTCCCAAGGAAAGCCACTTGTCTTCTAGCCCACTTACAGCAATGGTTCTTTTTTCTCCTCCACAAAAAACACAAGAGTAAAGATTTACTCACTGCTAAATGCTGCAGAGGTGAGGAGCAGAATATGAAAGGACATCTCTCTAAACATGATGGTAGAAGAGCAAGATAATGGCAGGACTAAAGGAAAGATTACAAAATACTTTTATATTATCTTTTAAGAGTATGGGAAAAAAAAAAAAAAAAGATGGATTCACATGAAGAACAGTTTTTCCAGGAAGTTGTTTCTGAAGAGGCCAAGGACACTTCAGAATAAGTCTTATCAGAATAAGAATTTGTCAGTATAAAGTTCAAGAAATTAAGGAGAGGAGCTAAAAGCTTGAATTTACTGTACTTAAAAACACATCTCCAACTCTGCCTACCTATTTGTTTAATGAACATTACAAAGAAGCAGCATATCACCCCTGTGTACACCTCCATGCGATCTTTTCAAAATGTCAACTGGACTACAGGATCTATAGAGATCCCTTCCAAGCTCAACCATTTTGTGACCAACATCACTGCACTCACAATAGATCGGAATTCATAAGCACCATTTAGTAGCAGTACAAAATGTCCTGTTGCGAGTAGCTTCTATCCAGTGATGTGAAAGAGCAAAATTTATAAATACCAGCAATACTTAACGGCAGCACTAACCAGATATTTTTAAATCCACAGTATCTGATTCCAACAACGTCCAGTACAATTTAAATTTTTATAAACTCGTGAAATACCTTCTCAAATAGTAGTCACCTCTAGTTCCACACATTAGAGAAAGATGGCATGAAACTGGACCAAGCAAAAGAAGAATCACGACATCTAGAGGTACAGAGCCTGTGTGAACAGGATCTGTCTTGTCTTTCCTGTTTTCACTTCACAGCTTGGTCTGAGGGCAGTATAACTGCCACTTTTAAGAAGACAGCAAAAATAATTATTTAAGTGAACAACAGGATGGGAAGGGGAAAAAATGGGTAAATTATAAAAGTATAAAATCTATGGAATTAGAAACCTTCTCTACTTTCTTAGGGACAGTGGAAAGCGGTAGAGACATTACCACTGCATTGACTCATTTATCCAGGCAAAATTTAGGGCTTTTATTGTTCATATAAGATTGCATCCCTTATACAGTAAGCTTACAGCAAATTTAGGAAGCAAATTGTTCACATTTCTTCCCCAAAAAGCTGTCAACTGTAGATCAACCAATAGCCACAAGCTATTCCACACTTTCAGCTTTGTCAAATGCACCGCATCCGCTAAGCTACTCTTGTAAAGTCTGCCTGTACTCCCTTTAAATCTCTCTTTCAAAAGTCCAGTATAAAGTTACCTCACAGGATTACGTATAGGGGGAAAAAAAAGTGCATTTAAAATGCAAAAAAGGAAAACTCAGCACCATACTCCTACCAAACTACAGACAGATTGTTTGGCATTAACCATCTTCAGCTCTAGTGACGAAATCAAACACAACTCTCCATATCCTAAAATGCAAGAACAATAGATCCGAACCTGAATTGGTGATGGTTAAAATTGCCTCATATGAAAATACAAAATTCAACAATATAAAATCATATCTTGGCATTTTACAAGTCAGATAACGGCAGATCCTTAAAATAAATATATATACACACAAAGCTACATATACACCAAGCTTTTAAAAGATTAACCTTCTTTAGCCACAGTGATTCACTCTTGAGCTTACAGATTTCTACAGCTTTCATTATACAATGATGTGTCATCTTACAATCAATACCCATAAGTCATTGAAACTACAACACTGCTGCTATTTTACTGCTATTCAGAACCACTATCTGACAAAATCACCCACCCTAGAAAAAACAGCAGCAGGATCAAAACACATGCATGTATGTGATTAGCCAAAAGATGAACCCAGCTGAACTTTAAGAGTAGCTAAAAATATATTTCTTTTCTGAAAGAGCATTAAGATGTCAGGGTTTTTTTTTTTTCAAATAAAGCAGTTATCTCAAAAGAAAAGTACTACAATAAGGTTTCTGAATTACACTTTTCTCACGCATATTAAAATTGCATAGCCAGCCTGGCTGTGAACGTCCAGGAAATGCTCAATGTTCTATGGAAATAGAGCATTGTCTCAGGAGTGATTCTCTCCATCCCCTTTTAATGAATACTGCGATACCCTTCTCTAGAATCTAGCTCATTATCAGATATCAAAGTTATTGCTGGAGGCACTAGACATTTGAAAAAAAATCTACTGTTAATTTGAGTA